GGGTCGGCCGAGGGGGCTTTAGCGTTCTCGGACTCGGCGGTGGGCAATGACTATCGGCCCTTCGTGCGCATACCTCCAAGGCTGACTGTTAACCCCGCGAGCGCGACGTTTACAGGGCAACAGACAGGTTCCATTTTCTGCGAAAAATACATATTGACTAATGCCATGTTTCAGTGTGTACTTTTTACAATCAATATTTGGACAATGGACACATTACAAATAATACAGTTTTATAAAGTTTTAAGTTGTTGAGTTTGTAATAATTTAATGATTTTGTCGTAAAATACTGTACCCTACTTCGTAGTCGAGGGGGTATTCACTCTTGTAATACCCTGTACCACCTCACCTGGGTATTACGCGAAATTACGTGTAATGTACCGAAAAATTACAAAATACGCAATAAAACGGCTGATTTTTGCTTGTAATACTGGTATAATACCCGGCGATGGCACAACGTAATTCAGTGTAATGCGGAGTACTCTGTATACAAGTGTTTTGGCTGTGAATACTCTCCTCGTTAATAGTGTTGCCTACTTTCTAATAAGGGTGGGCCTGAATGTTGCCCCCCATATGTGTGGTCCCCACGACCTGCTGCGCTCACGGGGGCGCTCACGGGGGCACATACACACAAGGGCGCGCGGCGCGCTGCTGCCTCGCACATCGCCATCTGAAAACCTTGATAAGAAACCTCACAAGCGGACGCGATTCCGCGCGGACAAAAGCGCCGACAAAGGGCGTGGCGCGGCGCGGCGCTGCGGCAGATAGTCGTATTTGTCCAGCAAACATGGCCCCGGACGAGGCCCCGGCCCTACAAAAGGCTTGGGAGGGCTCCAGGGCCGCGGCTCCAGCCGGCTGCTCCGGCTGGGCTGGGCTCCAGAGGACTTATCCTGCTCCGCTGCACCTGTATGCCATGCGACGTTATGCCAGCGGCTGTGTGTGTGTGTGTGTGTGTGTGTGCGTGCGCGCGCGTGTGCGTGTGCGTGATGCTCACCTTGCACGTTGATGTTACGCGAACCTGTGGTGGTCGCTTTTCCACAGGTAAAATCCTTTCCTTGTATTACACTCACGAGGTTTGTCCCGACCGGGTCTCGACTGTGCCTGCGGTGCACAATACGAACACATAGTTTGCCGTGCAGTTTGCAAGGATTCTGACAGCTTCAAAGAATTTCTTTCTGCAATACGATCTCATTCTTTGCCACGCTTCAAAAAATATAGCTTGCAAGCATTTTAGAGTGAGCTAATACAAATCAATCTGGACTGGTATTAGTTCACATTCCATATGTATTCGCCTCCGTAGCCTCCATCTAGATTAGTAGCAATTTTTCCGTCCCTGGCCATCTTTCCTTTGCCTGGATTTTTTTCCACGCTATGTCGTGCGCTGTTTGATCAGATCTATCATGTGTGATAGAGCACAGCTGGAATGTGGAACATCTGCTGCTAGTCCGTGGCAAAAAAAAAAGGTAAAGACGTCAAAAGAGTGGTCGAGCTTGTGCTGCTGTCGGGCTTTTCGCGGTATGGCGGGGCTGGGCGAGGAAGCGGCGGAGGGAGCCGCACCCCACCGTCGGGTATAATGCCCGTCCAAGTTTCGCTCCGCCCGGCCGTGTGTCTATCATAGAGAGATTCGATTTCTTTGAAGGATTCCGACCTTGATCCCCGCACCGTGGCCCGACGCCTCATTCGCTCAAAGGCTCTAGCCGCCGAGGCGGGGAGGGTGGTGGGAGTGGTTGGGTGTGAAAGCAGCGTATAGTGCGGGAGGAGGAACTGTTCAAGATAAGAGCGAATAAGGTGGCGGGTGAGGGAAAAAAATATGGCAGGATGTTCGGGGGAAAAAAGTCCTTACCTCTGCTGTTGCTGCTGTCCGGCCGGCAGCGCTAATGCAATAACGAGCACATGCCGGGCCTCCTGGAGCCGCGCTGGAGCGAGCTGCGCGTGCTTCTTTTGGCCCGGAGACCCTCGTCGCACACATGCGCGGACACGGGTCCGTCGGACCCTTATTACGGAAATAATAATTTTTGTGTTTTCTCCTCTGGCCCTGATTGCGGCCGTTATATTTAATTTAGGTATTTATCGTCGTCGTTAACCGGGACGAGGTGCTGGAGGGCTCTTCGCATGCGCTCCGTGGACGCCCTGGCACTGCCCGGCCCCCCTGGCGGTTGTCGGCCAGGGCCCGCCTGGGCCTGCTGGGCAAAGGTTTGCGGTCACGAGCTAAATAAAAAGTCGACGCAGGGCATTATTTTTCTCCAAGACTGTTAAAACTGAACGTTCGTCAGGTGGTTCTGAATTTAGCAAATGCATTGTTTTTCGATTTTTGTTGTTTCTGTTTTAAACAGCGTACTGAGCACTGAGCACTTAGCTGCAATGTTTCACATTTTCGACGTTTGTTTTCCAGCCTGCAGAATTTTTCTTAGCTTTGCGGGTCGATGTGCAGGACACACGTTGTGTTGTGTGGTACAGAAAGGCGCATTCTCCCAACAAAGCAATGCAAAAAAAAAGCAAAAAAAAAAAGAAAAGAACGAAAGGCAAGGATGACTTTGCCTTAATTTACAGTCCGGAGGGGAAGCAGCCAGAGAGCGGCGAGAAGCAAAAGTTTATCCTCCCTCTCCATGTGATTCTCCTCTTCTGCTCTAAAAATACGCGCTTACCTCGAAGAAGGCAAATAAAGTGCCCGCACCCAGTTTTGCACCGTAACGTTTAAATTGAGGCCATATAAATGGAACCCCAAATAACACACACAAGCTTTGCTGGGGGGAAAGTATGGGTTTGTTTTTTTGTTGTGGCACATTACTCCGTTATCCACTTCCGACCGCAGACCACTTCAATCTCGCCCCTCTCTCCACCATGCCCCCGCTCCATACTGTACCCGTACCAGCTTTCACCTTCATCTCTCTCTCTCTCTCCCTCCCTCCCCCTCTCTCTCTCCCTCCCTCCCCCTCTCTCTCCCTCTCTCTCTCCCTCTCCCGGAGTGAGTGATTGTGGGGCACTGCGCTGACGGAGACGGATGGCCGGCCTGTGCAGAGCGATGAAGCACACTGTGTCGGAATTAAGCAGCAGCAGCGCATTCGAATTGGCCATTCCCCTCATCCCTTCCTCTCTCTCCCCCTCTCTCACACTCATGAGCATGGAATCACCACTGTCATCGCTCTCGCTCCCACTCCCCCTTGCACAAGCGCCCCTCCTTTCTATACACCCAGGTGATTTGGTGCCGCACATATGGCCCATATATGGTACCATATATGGGCCATATGTGATACCTCATATATGGTCCATATATAGTATAATATATGACCACATGTGGGACAATATATTCAAACATGTGGGCCCATATATGCTTATATGTTTACAAATATATGACAACATGTGACTCTTCAGCAACCTCCGGGCTTCTATGTCCTGAGGCCTGTAGCGTTCGATAAACACTTCGTCTACATCAACTTTTTGCTCTGATCACAATGGTGGTGTTTTCATTGTCATATCTGAAGCCGTTCTCGAGATATTGGGAAGGTGTTGGGGGTAATTTTTTTTTACTTCAAGAACTGATAGAGCTTATTATTATGATTTACTACATTCAGCTGTTTTACCCTGCGATTTATAGTTTAGGCGTGGCACCGCTTTGAAGTTGATACCCTATATATGGTCCACATGGTATCACATATGGTGCATATATGCTCCAAAAACTTAGTTGTAAGAAAGTATGACACCCTTTGGTGGGTGTCTAAAATGTCTTAGAACAATACATATGAATGAAAACTGCCCAAGGTAAATTTCGTAGAACAACCATCAGTACCTCACACAGCGTAAACCGCTGGACACAAGTAGACAGGTGTTATAATATTTAGTCGGGGTTACGGCATAAACGAGGGGGTGCTGTCTTCGAAAATCATTGTACAAGGCCGAAAAAATCACAAAAAAAATCAAACGCAATAAAAAAAAATCAAAAAATCAAAATCAAAATCAAAAAATCAAAAAAAATCAAAAAAATCA